ATCAATTAAGAATTTAAAATCTCAACGTTTAAACTGAATTTGAATGGTTGAAATTTTATTACAGTGATAAGCACCAAAACATGACCCATTACTTTGGTGAGTATAATAATCTGTATAAGATGGGATCTTGATTGACAGGCACCCACTTGCGCTTCTTACAATAATACAACATGACAAAGTTGTATTCAAAGGAGGAAATAGTGAGGCTCCAAATTTTGCCCTCGGAGAGCGCCCTCTCTCTCTCTCTCACTGCTGGTTGGGGCACGCAAGAGGGCCGCTTCTTTTTCCGAATTCATGAGTTGATGGTGGGGCTAACCCTCTGCGAAACCGCGACTTCTGGGTCAAAAGTCGACGCCTATTGTTCCTGCAAACTAGTTCCAAGGATAAGAAAGCAATAGGCAGAAAATACTGTTCCAATCCTTTAATTTTCATTAGTGCCTTATTCTCCATCAATGGACCATGTAAAGCATCGTTCCCTTTCTTGGTTTCCATGCCACGTCCATGATTCTTGACTAAGATGACTCTGATTTTAACTCTCGCATATTTTTTTTATCATTGTTTTTGCTAATACTCATCCACCCATTTCTCATCTCTTCCATACACCACGAGATTACGAGACATTTTTTTTGTTCTACGAAAAAATAAGCACCCATGACAATGATATAACCTTGACAAAATAGTATTCATTTCCACATTTATTAGCTACTTGATGTAGATTAATAATAACTTGTATATGCTTCTCCAGATCTCTCGATCAACCTCTTGCATGCTCTTTCTTACATAACCCTCCATTATTAAATATAAAAATACTTGTCGATCTACAAATCTCGCGTGCAGTAAAAAAGACGTGAAATAAAATGAGAAATAACCCAAAGATATTTTTTATGCGCTTTGATTTTTGCAACCCGCCCCCCCCCCCCTGGGTTTTTGTTGTCCATGTACGTCAACATCGGATAGACCTAGCGTGGGGCTTGAGTTAAGAAATGAGAAAATAATGAAGAACTGCTTAGAAAAATTTATATCAATTAATCAAGAGTTAATTGTTGTCAAAATTTGATTAAATTTTTTAAATAAACTAGTATTAATTTAAAATAAGTTATTGTTAAAACTTAAATAAATATTTGTTAATAAAAAACTAAACCAGATGGATAAATATCTATTTAAATTTTAATAATAAATAATCTTAATAAATTCCTTCAGTCTTAAGAAATGGGCGACTTAAAAAAAAAAAAAGGATATAACTTATGAGCTATGCATAGCGTGGGGCATGAATTCAACATTAATTAATTAGGGAGAAACGATAGGATATCAGAGGTACAGCCAATAGATATGAAAGAAATTGCACGTAGTGTCTGATTTGGATCAAGCGTGGGGGCAAAGCGGCAAAGCTGGGGGTCTGGAGCGCTAGCCCCAAGGTCCTCCCCTCTCGTATTTTCCATGGCCGCTTTGTTTTACTTTGTTTTTCACCTTTTCAGCTTCTTCACCCTTTTTTTCTTCTCCAAGGCTCTCATTAATAAACAGCCCTACCTATTCCCCACTTACCCTCATTCTCAGAGCCCATTTTTCATTCAATTATAAAGGTTTAAATATTACTAATATATATATATATATATAACTTAGGGTGAAGACAGGAGAGTAGCAAGGGCCACGGCTCCCAAATTTTTTATTTTTTTAATAAAATATAAAAATTATATATTTTCAACTATATAAATTGACAATTTATAAAAACTTTAAGATATTAGATGAAATTTTCATTTCAATTTTATAGTAGTCTTTTACATATATATAATCTAAATATTTTAATAATTTAAAAATATAGTTATTATAGGATTTACTTATTTTTAACAAAATAATATTACAGTTTTTTTTATATTTGATGATGAATGTTTTTACTATGATATACTCAGATCTTATAGATATAAAGAATATGTGATAATTGAGCATCATCATTATATTAATATATTTATTTATTATAATTATTAATTGAAAGAATTAAATAATAAATTTAGTAAGTAAATAATAGATTATTTTTAGATTAAATAGAACTTTAGATCCCAAATATATATGCATTTAAATTATTCAATACTTATAGGAAAGATGAAATTTTTTTCAATTCATAATAATTTATATTAAAAAAATTGCTAAAATTTTTATTATAGACATGCTAATTAATTATTCTTATGATATCATGAAAAATTAATGAGCAAAATTTTAAAAATGAAGGTATATATTTATTTTTATTCTATATATATATAATTGAATATAAATATATATGCTGAAATATTTATATTCTGTTAGTGACATATATATAGATTTAATTTTTTATCATTATATATGCTTTACCATTTCGGCCCTCCTAATAAATTTTTTTGGTTCTGCCCCTATATTACTCCTCTGCTGTATGTAAACCAAATGATCCTTCTATTACACACCCACAATATCCCCCATGCATTACCCTTTTTTATTTGCACTTGTGTTATTACTGTTCGAAACAACATTGTCAAATAATATGAACATATATCTCAATGAAGATTTAAATTTTAGTTTACCACATTGTGAAGGACTAATACATTTCATTAATACTGTGCATATATTACCTTTAATTTAAGATTTTGGGTTACATTTTCTTTATTGTGAGAAACACCAACCGATTTTCTAGGACCTGATGCGGTAAGTTGAATGCATGTGCAATAGTCAGTTCATGGGATGGAGTCTGTTTTGTCGAAGAAGCTATAGACAAAGGGAGAAGAATAGAGAGGGCAATTAAATCAACTTCGCATTGACTTGTGGTTACGCGTATATATGCGTCTTCACATCGAAACGTCAGATCTGAGGATGATTTCTCACGTGAGGCAATTGATGTATGTAAATTAATGACATGTAGGTCATGGTTCTTAGCTACAGTGTACATATGGCAGGCTTCCACTATACTATATATTTAGTCGTGCCTGTACCACGACAAGGGACGAGGCTCCATTACTGCCAAGAGACAAGTCCAACGTCATTGACTTCATTTTCCACTCTCTCTGACCAATTCAAATCATTCAGGTCTTAATTATACGACTATTATGGATGTATGTCTGTGTGTTTATTCGTCTAATGTTATCTTAATATGTATATATATCAACTATAAACGATTATTGAGCTCTCCGTCGACTAGTTATGAGGTATTGATATGTTTTGTGTGTGTGTGTGTGTGTGTGGTTGTCGCGTAGCCTGTTTTCCAAGGTTGCTGCGTCTGGTGTCTTTAGGTTGGGGCAATGAGTTTTAAAATATAAAGGCTTCAATTTGATGTTTTAAGATAAGTTAAGGCCGAGTAGATTCATTTGAGTGAATTGTGACTTTGATTTATTATATATACAGACTTTTTTCTTTCCTTTTGAATTCAAGGACTTCCAGTGACACAGATTTGATCTCTTCCTTTCTTTGTTTACGTGTATTGGTGAACGGTTAGTCTAAAATTCAAACTTAGAATGGAACTAAAACCACTATATTTGCGATATTTATGGTGGGGACAATTTAATTTTCTCAATACGTACGCTAGCTAGCAAACGAAATGTAAGATAGAAGAAAATTCCAATATCGCTATAGAAAGCAACACAATTACTAAAATTATTCAAAAAAATTAAAAAGAAATTCAATGAAGTTAGCTGAATAATTAAAATGTGCAACCAGACAACGTCAAGCGTATGAAGCCCTGGAAAAAATATTAATGATTTATTTCTTATGAGTAAAACAAAGCTTAGCTTCCTCCCTAAATAATAAATTGGCACCGGGTAGGTGTATATGTGTGTTGTATTCTTCTCAGTCTGAATTTTGTATTTGAAAAGACGAGAGAGATGAGACTCGACTTTGAAAAAGGAGAACAGGATAATACTGATTACGTGCAATAACCACAAAAAATTAAAAGATGATATAAAAAATCTAGTTAAAGTATATTTTTAATCTTCTAATTTTATATAGGATTTGAATTTAGTTCTTTAATTTTATATAGCCAGTTCTTTAATTCTAACATCATTAATTTTAAATGATTGTTTTTTATAGTAATCATTTTTATTTAAAAAATTAAATTTAATGTATCAATATTTAATAATGTTTTATTAATTTTTAAAAGTTTAATGTAAAAATTTTTTATAATAAAATTAATAGTGTCATGGTTAATAAAAGACTAAAAAAATACTTTATAAATTTAAGAGACTAAAATAAAAGCTTGTGTAAAATTAAAGGATTAAATGTATAATTTAACCTAACCATATTTAATCTTCAATCAATTAATTAAAGGCCATTCATATGTAAAGTATATAAACGCGTTCATCATACACAGTGGCTCATGATTCATGAAGATGGAATTTGAAAACATGAAGACTCATACATGTGTCCATGAACGATTAATGGAACTGCTGTTCTATATGTAATATTTCAAATGGATACGAAAACTGATAAACTCGTCAGTGTTACAAACCAGAAAAGTTTCGCCTGAGCTGGAAGGAGGAAATGGCCCGGCACGTCGTGCGACGACCTTCGATTCATCTTCGATCCATGACGCGGTCGGATGGTCCCAAATGACGTCGTCGTCGGCTTCAAAGTCAGTGGATTAGGTTTTCCAATCGAAGGGAGGCCCACTAATTCCAACCCTCGTCGGATTTGAGCCTTGCCGTCAGCTCCTTTGACCTTAGGGACCCCCCCGTCGAGGATAGGAAAGAATAGTCGCCGCCTCACTGCAGTCACGAAAACGGAAAGCCGTTATTTGTAACGGAGACCCTAAAGTGTAAATGTAATACATAAGAGTCCCCTCCTAATAATCTTCTTCGCTTCTTTGGCCTCACTGGCTTAATGGTGACGTCAATCTTCCTGCGAAATTAAAAACGGTTGGTCCTGAACTGAGAGTCTTTTAAGTTTCATCTTTACCTTTTACCTTTTTTTTTTTTTTAAGTTTTATAATTTAAAAATGAAGGAATCCTCAGGAGTCAGGGGTGGCGTGGCGCATTTAAACCTTGTCGTTGAGAAGGCTTAATCAATTCAATCAACCATTTTCCTGCTACTCTTCTCTTCTCAGTAGTAGATATGGAAAACCAACAACACCGCCGTGAATTGACCTCCACTAGCTCGGGCTTCTTCCTCCGTCAGAACTTGGATCCAACAGACAATCACGACTCCAGCCATCGTCTTAACATCAAAGAAATGGATTTCTTCTCTTCCGTTTCACTCGGTAAATCTTTTGAGACTAGAAATCACCACGCCCTAGATCCTCATGACAGGACGATCAATCACTATGGATCATCAAGTGCTCCCTCATCGGATCGCCCGGTCAACGTAGGGTTTCTATTTCATTATATCCGCTATTTCTCCATTTATATCTGAAGATTGACATTGAATCTGCACCAAATGATTGTCTGCTGTACTGTGTATATAGACTGGACTGAATTTGAACTGTGCAAGTCATGGAATGCCGAGATTGGAAAACGAAGAGAAGATCGACGCTGAAGTAAGTATGCGTGAGCCTTTAACTTTTCTCCCTCTCTGTGCACATATATATTGACACCCAGACATATATACATGTTCCATGTTGATATATACCGTCAAAATTAATTCTGTGATTATGTTTATTTAGTCAAAATTAATCCAAAGGGAATTGCGGAGACTGCATGAAGAGAATCAGAAGTTGAAGAACATGCTGGAACAGATCACGAAAGGCTATAACCAACTGCAGGCACATCTGTTAATCGCTCTGCATACACAAAAGGTGCAGGTAAATATTAATTTGATATTTATGAATGTCTGTTATTCCTTAGATAGCTCTTTTGCTTTAATCTTCCTGCCAGGGGCATTTTCAGAAGTAAATCTTTTTGATTTCTGAGGATGTGTGATCGATTTCAAAAAAGAAAGCGTTGTTTGTTTCATCGCGTCTCTGCGCCACTCTCTCTCTCTCTCTCTCTCTCTCTCTACTTTCTTTCTCTAAGTAAAGAAATGGTAGCGACGTGCCTCGCTTAAATTGGAAATCGTGCTATACGATCCCTAGGCACCTTTATTTTCTAATTGAAGTGATTCCTTGCTGGTCAAAAAATTGAAATGATTCCTTGAAATTATGAATTTTTGTTATTATTACTTCAATGAAGTAAAGAAATAGTATACTATCAATTTACACCAAGAATAAGCACATGACACGACTCAATATTGACTTGGGCCCCGCCCTCAGATTAGTTGATACAACGCGCAGGAAAACGGGCGAGAGTTAGTCCATCCGAATCAAAGTTTGTAATTGTCTCTAGCATCAGCTACATTGTGCAGCAATTTTTTTTTAAATAATAAATATACATTCAAGGCGCGCGTGGGTATTTTAGTAACTTTAAGGAAGTAAATTTTAGTTATAAATACTCCACCATCAGTTCTTAAATATAAGAGCTAGTTGATTGAGAGGCTGGTAATTTTGATACTAAATAATATAAAACTTCAATTAATTTTGTCTTTCAAATTTATAATATTTTTCCTAAATATTCTTATTGATTGCATACATGAAAATGGATTTTTATCAATAAGAGTAATTTTCAATGTAAATAATTAAGGGGAGAATTTTAGAAAAATCAAAACACACTTTTCACAAATAATTAACTGTACTATTTTTTTTAATCTCTGTAAATTTATTATCTAACCACCGTATTGTACGCCAATCAATGCATGACGTGGGATTTGCAAGATACAATACTAACATATATATATATATATATATATATAAGAAATACAAGTATTCGAATAATAACTAAGTAGCTATACGTACTTGAACAGAACGTTGAAGCAAATGGGATGTTGTCGGGGCAACAGGCATTGGACCCACGGCAGTCCACCAAATTAGACATGAACAATTCGGTTTCAGACGATATGACTCAGCAAGAGCTTTCAGTCTCTCCTTCATCCAACAATGCGGAGTTAATGTCAAAGCAACGAGACCACCACTACCACCACCAATCACCTAAACTTCCTGGAAAGCAAGCAACTTGTCCTGAAAATAATTCCAAGTCACAAGATTCCAAGAGCGAAGAACAAAAGCCAGATATTCATTTCAGAAAAGCCAGGGTTTCCGTGCGTGCAAGATCAGAAGCCCTCATGGTACAGTTTACTATCAATCCTGCACATATATACAAGAGTACAATTTTCTTTTCCATTTTGCTCCGGGGCAACGAAGTCAAGATATAGTAGCGAACGATTTCTGTCTGTGCTTTACAGATTAGCGATGGATGTCAATGGAGGAAATACGGTCAAAAAATGGCCAAGGGTAACCCTTGTCCACGCTCCTACTATCGCTGCACCATGTCCGTTGGATGCCCAGTTCGTAAGCAGGTAATTAATTAAAAGGTTTTACAGCCAATCTTTCTTAGATTGTGGGCCTGTTGTAATTTTTATTTTTTATATCTGGTTAAATAGGTGCAAAGATGTGCCGAGGACAAGACGGTGCTGATAACAACATACGAAGGGAGTCACAGCCACCCTCTCCCACCGGCCGCCACTGCCATGGCAAACACGACATCTGCAGCGGCGGCGATGCTTCTATCAGGTTCAACGACGAACAACGAAGCCTTGACAAATTCAGCCGGAGGGTACTTGTCCTCTATGCCCTACTCTTCAATGGCAACCCTATCAGCCTCTGCACCGTTTCCTACGATCACTCTGGACTTGACTCAGACCCCAAAAAGCGCGCAGCTTCACCGGATGCCGTCCACTGGCATGACGTTTCCTCTGGCATTGCAGGGTTATCCTCTGCAGCAAATAGGGAAGTCAGTGCTGTCCCCTCAGAAGCTACCGGAGGTGCCTTCTTGTATGGTGGAGACGGTGGGTGCAGCTATTGCCTCTGATCCGAACTTCACGGCAGCGCTGGCGGCAGCCATTTCGTCAATGTTTGGGAGTAATTTGAATGGCGATGGAGGGAGTGGAAATGGAATTACCATTCCTCACCTTAACGACGGGATTTCTGTGTCGCCTCAGCTTCCTCCGTCCTGCACTACATTCTCCACCAACTAGTTTGATGAGCAGCAGAGCAAGGATATATTATACAGATACACATGTACAGATAACAGATCCAAGGGCGGAATTAAACTAGCGCAATTTTATTACTTTGGAAAATTTTTACATGCAAGGACAAAAGTTATAACATACTTCCTCCGGTCCACTGTATTGGTTTGGTTGCGTTTTAGAAGAAAAATGTGGACAACAATATAAGTCATTCGATGATAATGACTTTAGATTTTAAGACGAAATTCCCAAAACACCTTTACTATAAAAGAAAATTGAAAGTAATTTATTTACTGTAGAGGGAGTAACTTTTTTATAAATTATGAGAGAGAAATATAAAAAAAATATTATATTAATTTGATCACTTTTTTATTTAATTAAGAGTTAGTTTTGAAATTTTATTTATAATTATTTTTTATAATTTTATTATATTAATATTGATGAAGTTGGTAGATATAACTTATAAATAAAACCATAAAAAATATCATGCCACGTGATACTAATAGCAAATATAAACAAAAACAGGGGAACTAACTGAGCTCCAGTAGGAAAAACCATTTATTCATTGGTTTCTCTATTATGATCATTAAATGTTTAACAATTACTATCAATAATCCTTTTTTAGTGACATTATTGTCAAATAACACTAAAATTAATAAAAATTAAATTTTATAGTAAAGCATGAAGTTAATGGATTAACTATTTAAATTAAGATTATAAAAAGCTAAATAGTAGGAGATTTTTTTATGATAAAATTAATTTAAAAAAATTAAATTAAAATTAAATAAATAAAGAAAACTCAATTAAGAAAATTATCAAGAACAAGCAGTACAATCAATTACAACCCAATCACCTTATCTTAATTTTCCTCATCTACAAAATAAATTAATTTTATTTAACTTTATTATTTTAATCTTATTATATATTTCCTAAATTATTATTCAAGAATTGAACAAAAAATTAAGTTATATATGAATTAAAATATTAATTAAATTTTTTCTTATTCTACAACGTAACAACTATTTCTATATTAACTAAATCAGAAATAAAGCATAAATAATCATCTAAGCCAGGTCAAATTACTCTTATATTACTATATCAATCAATTATAGCAAGCAAAATCTCAGATAAAATTTATTACTCAAAAATTATACAATAAAATTACTTTAACTAGCAATAACAATTAAAACATAAAATTCAAAGGTAAAGAAAAAAAAACACATTAAAATAGAGTTAAAATAAAATTTATTCTGAATATTAAAAATTCTAATTAAAATTTAAAATTATAATTTATGATTGAACACATTAAAAAGTTAGCTTTTCATAAAACAGAAAATGGAACAACACTGCATTTTAAAATGAGAAGCCATTGCTCACGAAAAACGACGAAGAGCTATCTGTTTTGCGCCAATCCCTTCTATCCTTCCAATGTTCAATTTAAATAGCCGTGCGTCTCCTGGAGCGTCATTTGTACTGCTAAACAAAAAAATCTAGTAATTTAATAAAATGAAAAAGCTATTCTAAATAACCTTAATTAATAACTATACTAAAAAATTTAAAATAAATATAAATAAAGTTTTAAATATTTGATTCTTAACTTGATCTCTAAATATGTCCATATTTTTTTTATTCAAAATAATATCTATCAATAACTTTTAAATTGGATCTAGAAGACCTGCACAAATAAAATAAAATTAAATAACAAATGTACAATAATGTTAAAAATATCATTCATATTTAAAATTAAAAATTTAGATAGTTAAAATTTAAAAATTGAAGTTTGGCTAAGAAAATAAAATAATATCTAATTATTATTTTTAATATAAATATTTAAAAGTTTAAATTAAGAGGATAAAAATATATAAAATTATTATTTATCATTTGGCCAATTATTAATCATCATGATCCCAACCAAAACTCCCTTTTCAAGGTCATAAAATATTTGTGCAAAAAAAAAAAAGTTGATAAAATACATTTAATTCTTGGTGTTTCTTTTTTTTTAAAAAAATTCATTGAGGGTAAGATAATGACCAGGAGGGGGAGACCATGAGAGATCCTCCCCCTTCCTTGCTTAGCGATTTGATGAGCTCTTGCCACTTGTTGCTTAGCAATTACACAATGCGTCGTTTTGAGTGATGTGTTGAAATGGTTATTTTTTCCCTCAACTTGAGTTAAAATTTTGGAAAAATCAGTCTAAAGTCTCATGGAAGCACTTAAAATATGCTGAGGTCCCATGAATTTAAGAAATAGCTGTGAGGTCCTTAAGGATCTAAGAGTGAATAAGTCTAAAAATGAAATTACCCATTTGCCCGTAGTATTAAAAAGAAGATTTTGCTTGCACGCGCACGTCTCATGAAATCCATAATCAGCAATAGTGAAGGTTGCTACATATCCATGATTGTTGATCATAATAGGATCATCTTCACTTCCTTATATTCATGATTACAACCTTGTCTTCATCTAAGTGAGTTGGGAGTGTTTCTTTTGCAACAGCAGCATTTCATCGACAGAAAATAATTTTTTTAGGTAAATGATTGTTGGCCGTAAATGATTACATAAATTACCAATTAACAGTAGCATATCCATTGTTAGCTGGGTAAACGATTTCTTATACGTTATTGATTTCATTATTGTTTAAGGGTAGGGTAATGCTTTCTAAGTAAACCTGTGATAATTCAGCTTACATAGCTAATATATAGAATAACCTGGCACAACACTGATATGTTGACAAATATCTGATATGAATATCTCTACATATTGTCAATAGTGTTTTGTTGTGTTGTCAACATGGTATGAATAGTTGTCAATATACTGTACTGTGCAGGCTAACCAGTAAAAATGCAAGTACTACTGAAAAACATGTATTATGTTATGTTTTTTCATATAGGACATTTTATATATTATTCCCAAGCATCTAAGGTTAGCTTGTTTTTTTGAAAAATCTCTGCTATCAAACAACACTGCGTCTTGTCAATAGTAGATAAATGTGTTGTCAATACACTTTTCTAGTTATTAATACACTGTGTGTGGTGCAGGTTGACCTATAAGATCGCAAGTTCTTCTGGAGAACATATATTATGTTTTTTTCATATAAAGGGCATTTTCAAACTGATGACCAAGGAAGTATGCAATATGTTGGGGGAGTATTAAAACAAGAACAATAAAGGAAGGGACAATATATAAAGAGTTAATAGGAATGATATCATTAATTATAGGAAATGAAGGCAATATAATCCAGTTAAAATTCACAGTCAATGTTGATGTAAGCACACTTGTAGATCTAGTTGATGATAAGGGAGTAGAATATCTAATCAAGTATAACAAATAAAGTGGACGTGTATATGTAGTTACAAATGACAATGACACTATAGAAGCATCAATGAATTGCCTATTAAAGAATCAACATGTGTAAGTTGTGTAAATTTTTTTGTTAACATAAATAATGTTGAAAAGTATAATTCTAATGTCGTCATTGAATGCAGGATTGATAATTTATTAAGAGTTTTAGACAGATGCTCTTTCTCTCCGCCAAGTATCTATCCTGAGATTGAAGATTCAAAATTAGCATGCGCCGTAAAAATGGTACCTACACCAATATCTGAAATGAATTCTATGAAATGAAAGGATTTGTTAGTAGGTAAAGGGAAGTTTTTTCCTAATGTTAATGCCGTTAGACAAACATTATACAAGTATAGCATCTCCCATAACTTTTCATACAAGTTTAAGAAGAATAATAAAGACAAGATCATTGCATATTGCAAGGTGGAAGGCTATGAATGGAACATTACAACATATTTAATAGGGAAAGATAATGAGATTTTAAGGGTTACAAAATTCAACAATGATCACACCCATAATGCGTAAGACAACCTCATTGTGTCACACCCGATAAGGTCAAAATTAACATCATCAATCATGGTTGATACTCTAACGTCTAATATAGATAAAGGTGCCAATGAACTTGCAAGAGACTTGTATAGAGAGTATGGTGTGTGATTAAGCTACAGTCAAGCTTATAGGGGAAGAGAAAAAGCATTGCGAGAAATACATGATCATGTAGAAGATTCTTATAGCATAATTCCTTAGATTTATGATCGATTAATGGAAATTGATTCGATAATAGTTATGGAATGGAATGCCTCAAATAATAGATTTGAGAGGCTATTCATTACTTACGGATGCTCTATATCCAGTTTTTTAGGAGGTTGTCGAGCCATACTTTATGTAGACGGATGTCATCTAGGCAGTCCATACAAGGGAACAATACTGTCAGCATGTACATATAACGCTGACAATGACTTATTTCTGGTAACATATGCCATTGTTAATGGAAAAATATTAGAAGATTGGTCTTGGTTTCTTCAAAATGTCAAAGACATAACAAGATTAGTAGAGTTAACAATTATTTTTGATCAGAATAATGCGATTATTAGTGCCGTGCAAGCTATATTTGGTGGTGGTGAGAGATGCATTTTGCTACTGTTATGTGAAGGAAAATTTTAGTACAGCATTTACAAAAATCAATAGATGTAAGAGGCATGCCTCAAGCAACATAAAAGATGATGCGTTGAAATTGCTTGATGTAATTGCCTATGCAAAGCATGAGGTTGAATTTAATGTTGTAATAAGGAATCTAACAATGTTTTGTCCACAGTTAGCACAATAGGTTGAAACCCAAGGAGATGTAGATCGATGGACTTAATGCAAATTTAGATATAAACAATGGGGTAACATCACAACTAATCTTGCAGAATCCTTTAATGCTTGGATTGTGAAAAAGAGAAAACACAATATTGATGTCTCGATTCATGAGCTTAGAGAAAAATTGGCAAAGAAGATGGTTGCTAGCAAAGCAACTATAGGAAATTGGAAACACGATGTCGGGCCTAATGTTAAGGCAAAAGTTATGGAGCATGTTGTGAGAGTTGAAAATTTAAATGCAAAAATTTATGGAGAAAATTTGATCTCTGTGCAAACTATATTACTTAGTAGACTAATACGTTTGAATATTGATCTTGCAACACATATATGTTCTTGTTTAGCATGGCAAATGAGTGGAATACCTTATGTACATGCTTGTGCAGCAATCAAGTTAGTTCATGGCAATGTGTACAATTTTGTGGATGAATGTTACAAGTTTACT